CGGCCCCGCCAGGGCGGGGCCCCCCCCGCGCCTCTCTCCCACCGCCTCCGAGCTCCACACGGGTTTTCCTCTGTTCGCTGCCCGGAGCCTGCAGGACTCACCCGCGGGGGCCGGGCGCTGTGACCAGGGCGGCGGCGACTCAACGCGCTCCTCAACTCCCCCCGACGGCGGCCATCTTGCCTCTGCGCTCCCCACCCGGCCCCGCCGCTCACGTGACCCCCGCCCAGCCCCGCCCCCGCGGCCGAGTCTGTCTGTCTGTCCGGGGCGGGGCGGGAGGAGCGCGGGCCCGGCCCAGGGCCGCTCTCCCCGGTGTCAATGATGAAATGATTGTACTGGCTGGAACGGGGCGGGGCGGGGCGGGGCGGGAGGAGCGCGGGCCCGGCCCAGGGCCGCTCTCCCAGGTGTCAATGATGAAATGATTGTACTGGCTGGAAACCCAAAACTATCGTACACTGAGAAAAATATGCAAATATATCTTCTTGACTTTATATTGCTCGCTGTCACTCGCCGTGAGTCCGGAAGAAATGCAAGACTCCAGCACTCCGCTGCTTCAGGGGCAGAGATGGCGGCCGTGTTGACCTGAGACGAAAAGAAATACAAAACTCTAGGCTTTTGGTTCAGAGAGGATACCTTTTATTAGACCAACTAAGAAATCGCAATAAATAAATAAGTAACAGTCTTTTTTTCTGCAAGCTTTCAGGCTCACATGCCCTTCCTCAGGCTCAGGGAAAATTAAAGGGAGTAAAAAGTCCTCATAGGTAGAAAATAAACTTTTTTGCACAGAGGAAGCTGAAGGTGGAAGTCTTCCTGGACCGGCCTGAGGAAGGGCGTATGCACCCAACAGCTTGCAGAAGAACATCTTTTTTTTTGCGATTTCTTAGTTGGTTTAGTAAAAGATCATCTCTGAACCAAGAGTCCTAGAGTTTGCGTTGCTTTGTGTTTCAGGCCAGCACAGCTGCCAAATACATCCCCGAAACATCTGAGTCTTGAAGCATTTCTTTATTTTGAGGCAAGCTTTCATAAGAAAGCGCTGACAGCAAAACTAAAAGTTTCTCCGCTTTTTCGCTCAGATCAAGTGTAGACGTGCTCAGATGGGGGCACCCGAATCCCAAGACCTTGGGCTTGGTCCTGCACCTCGGATGCCTGCCCATGGATTTGTGAGCATCTGAAATCAGGGCAAGAGGCTGGGATGGAGGATGCTCATGCCAGAGAAGGCGTTTACAAGGATTGAGTTGTGCCTTTTCAATTGATAGTGGTTTTTGAAACAATTGAGTTGTGCTCAGTCAGTGATTTGGCTGATTTGACCTGGAACAGAAAATATATTATTAATTTAAAAAAAAGTTGTGTGAGACTCAGTGGGTGCATCCAGACAAGCGCGGCCATGCAGTATGTAGCACTGCAAACACATTTGCAGTGCCACGTACCACACAGTCCAGTGTTGTCCGTGCTGCAAGGGAGCACTGCCCAAGCGTGTGCTGCACTGGGGGGTTTTTTTCTGAAGGTTTTTTTGACCCCTGGACATCCAGGGGTCAAAAAAACCAACAACAACAAACCCACAGAAAAAAAACAACAAACCAAGCAACACACACAGCCAGCATGTGCTGCTGCCAGCCAGGCTCCACATGGCAGGACCGCCACAGCTGCAGCTCCGGGAGGAGCTCAGACCCCCAAGGCTGTTGGGCTATAAGGCTGTTGGGGCCAGCACAGTGCAAGGTGCACCACCGCTACTTGTCCCCAGGGAACCAAACATCCATGCACATCTGGACACACCCACTGAGTGTGATTTAGGTTTTCCATATGTTACATCAATTAACTGCCTGAAAACTTATTGTACAGTTTGAACACTTTTACTATTATTGATCATACATCCTACAAGGTTGAAATTATTGTACAAATATGATAATTATCACACACCTGGCAACACTGAGGGACAGAGGAGGGCAGGGTGGGCAGAGGCCATGCTGTCTGCCCCCCATGCTCATTGTGCAATCCCACCCCTCTGCCAGTTAGCAATGAGTGGAACAGCGTGAATGGCAGCCTTCTCAACCAATCAGCGGCGAAGAGCGGGGCCACCGCTGGAGTAGCTCAGCCAATCAGTGGCATGAGGTGGGGGGTGCCCTCACCACAAAAAGCATTGCAGCAGGCGCCACAATCAACCTGCAAAAATCACCCACCTGCCTCCTCGATTTCAGTACCTCTGAAGGGTTCAGGCATCTGACACTGAGGTGCTTCAGTCCCTTGTTAGTTCCAGCCCTTTGTCCTTCTCTAGACTCTACAGTGTTTTCTCTACAGAACCACATTTGTAGGGCGGAAGGGGTGGGGGGGGGGTCTAGTTCAGTGGTACACACACACCAGGGGTACGTGGCCCTTTGGCAAGGAGTGCATGCTTCAGTTTGGCTTCTGGTCAACACAGTGTGTAGCAGCACTCCCATGCATTGACTTGGGTGCACATGGAGAAATATGTCAAGTGGACTGCTGCACAAGCAGCAGTATTTTGCAGGAAAGGAGTACATAGACAAAAAACAGTTTGAAAAAGCACAGATCTAGTCCATGGGTGACCAACCTGCAACACATATGCACACAGGCATGCTAGATCAGGGACAAGACAGAAGCAGAAAAGGCAGAGCAGACAAGCACAAAGTAGGACTGCAGAGGAAGAAGATTGGAATAGCAATTGGGGAAGGTGTGGAGCTAATTCAGGGCGTGCCTGCCCAAAAGGTTGGCCCCCACTGATCGAGTCAACCCCCCTCCTAGAGGCAGGACCATCCCTGAGTAAACAAACTATCCCAGCCAAGTGTTTATGCAGCCTAAACTTGGAAACTCCAAATGATGGAATTCCCGCCTCTCTAGGTAATGGAATCTGGTACTTAACCATCCTCAGAGTTAGAAAGTTATTCCTACTATCCAAAATGCTGCAATTTCAAGCCTTTACTTCTTTTCCTGCCTGTGGACCCAAATGAGTCAATCAGGCACCAGCCTCTTTATAATAACACTTTACATATTTGAAAATTGTCAGCAAATTCCTTCCCTACCCCACTCTGCCCTCTTCTCCATTTTTAATACACATCTAATCACTTTTATTTCTCTCTATTGTGATTATGCTAATAGTCGGACATCCCCCAAGGCTGCCTAATCTGCCACTATATCATACAATCATAGAAAATTATGGTTGAAGGGACCTCAGGAGGTCATCTAGTCCAACCCCCTGCTCAAAGCAGGACCATCCCCAACTAGATCATCGCAGCCAAGGCTTTGTTAAGCCAGGCTTTAACAACCTGGCTGGACTCATTTGAGTCCCGTTTTTGTTTTTAGGGTTTTTTGTTGTTCTCCCGCCCTGGCGGGGGGTCGGGCTAGAAGATCTATTAGGTCCCTTCCGACCCTAAAACTATGAAACTATGAAACCTCCAAGGATGGAGATACCATCACCTCTCTAGGTAACCTATTCCTTGCAACTTGAGACCATTGCTCATTGTTCTGTCATCTGTCACCACTGAATACTTCCATCCTGTCTGGAACCACCATTCAGGTAGTTGAAGGCTGCTATCAAATCCCCCCCCACTCTTCTCTTCTGAAGACTAAATAAGACCAGTTCCCTCAGCCTCTCCACACAGGTCATGTGCCCTGGCCCCGTAACCATTTTCATTGCCCTCTGCTGGACTCTTTCCAACTTGCCCACATCCTTTCTGTAGTGGGGAGCCCAAAATTGGACAAAGCACTCCAGCTGTGGCCTCATCAATGCAGAATAGAGGAAAATAATTCCTTCCCACAATCTGCTGGCACGGTTCATAGATTCATAGATGTTAGGGCCGGAAGGGACCTCAATAGATCATCGAGTCCGACCCCCTGCATAGGTAGGAAAGAGTGCTGGGTCTAGATGACCCCAGCTAGATGCTTATCTAACCTCCTCTTGAAGACCCCCAGGGTAGGGGAGAGCACCACCTCCCTTGGGAGCCCGTTCCAGACCTTGGCCACTCAAACTGTGAAGAAGTTCTTCCTAATGTCCAATCTAAATCTGCTCTCTGCTAGCTTGTGGCCATTATTTCTTGTAACCCCCGGGGGGGCCTTGCTGAATAAATACTCACCAATTCCCTTCTGTGCCCCCATGATGAACTTATAGTTCTTTTGCCCTTAGTAAGGTTTCTTTAAAATACAACCAACTCTCCTGGACTCCTTTACCCCACCCCTTCTCCTCAGTGAAGAAATGTTTATGAATAATGTATAATGATACTATACCTGTGATAATAGGGTTTGGCCTTCATCCATGAGGTCCCTCCCAGTTCTGTGTTCTAGATAAGATGTAGAGGGACAAGAAAAAGGAGCCAAATATATTTAATCTTCTTTCAGAAAGTTGGAGGTTGGGTAAGAGAGGAGGACCTGCCAAAGGTACACTGAAAGGAGTGGGTAAAGAGATCAAGGAGAACCTGAAGAAAATGGGATTATGAAATCTAAAAGAGGACAATATCTAATGGAAGAGCATACTCAAGACTGTCAAGGGCTATGGCAAAGATTGGCGAGAATAAGGATGGAATACTAGAGTCTAAGCATTAACTTGAGCAGTTTCAGTAGAGTTCAGGTGCAGGAGCCAGGTTTGAGAGGGTACAGAGTAGAACTGAAAGAGCATAACTGTAGACCAGGGGTGCTCAATCCCAGCCCAATTTAGCCATTGGAGCAGTGTCATCTGACCTGCAGAGGTCTGAAAATCTGGTGGCAGGGGAGCAGTAGCAGCAATTGCTGCACCCCTTCTGTCAAATTAATGGACCTGTGAGGAGCCCTGGCAGAATGGATAGCACATTAGATGTGTGCATTGAGGTGGCCTGGGGCCCCATCTGGGGACACAGGGGCTGGCTAAAACGACGTGGGCCCCGATTCTGCAGTTTAAGACTGAAGGAGGCAGCGCAGGGCTTAATCCCATCTCAAAGCCCAATTTAGCTCACAGATCAGCCCCAAATCACCTCATTCAGCCTGCATAAGCAGAAGGTTGAGTACCACTGCTATATAGACAGTATATTTGTTAAATTAATAGAAAAAAGGAGATGGAGAGGCAACTGAGACTGATGACTGTTTTTTTTTAAATTTATTTTAAGCATGCATTAGTTAAAGGAAAGAGCTAGAGGAGAGTGAAAGGTTAACCAGAAGAAAAAGGGAGGGGTTAAGGGAGAGTGTAAGGGAGATCAGGTGTTTGGATCAGTTGGGGGTCATTGAGGCATGTGAAGGAGATTTG